CCCCAAAACCCCAAAACCCCAAAACCCCAAAACCCCATGAAACTTATCTAGCAAAATTTAAATAAGCAGTAATAATAAAAATGAGCTGTTTATTGAAAAAACTATTCCATTTAAAATTATGCATCATAAAATTATTTATATTGTCATTTGCTTAAAAATGATATTAAAGACTGGCTATTTTATTCAGTATACTCTCAATCATACCAAGGATTATAAAAGAAATCCAGTTTAGTGAAGAGTTAATCACCAATTGCAAATCCTTGACATTCTTATTCCTCATAATATACACTGTTTCTAATTTCACAATACATTTATAATCTGCAAGCTGCATCACAATAAGTTATCCACTTGAAAGGGGCCTTTTAAGACTTTGTTTATGAGTATTTGACGGCAAGAGGCCAATTAGTTTTTATAGTATCAGCCAATTTTTCATAGCTAGCTGGGCTGAGATCTGTCATTGAGAAATAGTTTGCCATTTCATGATCTTCCCTCCAGACCGGCGAAGCTGCATTTATATCAATATTGTAAGTGCGTGCTTTCAAGGGTATTATTAGATTGTCATCTACTTCATAAACTCTAAAAGAAGGAAGAAGACTATCATATGGCGTGATTGACCCAGTAATAAAATGCACTCCTACTGGTAGATTCTTAGTGACTGATCTAGCTAAATTATTAAGCTCCTCATGATTGTGAGCGAACATTGAGAATCTGATAATGTGTTAGAATCTATCAGTGATTGCCTTGTATCTGATCGACCAAGAATATGTGCAGTCAAATTGATTAGGAGGAACATGTCCAATTATTATAGCTCTTTCCTAATTAGTCTCCATTTAGTGCAAGGTTGTATTAAGCCAAGCTAGTAAACCACCTGGATCTTTTCTTTGGGTGAATAGCTTAAAGTTTGCGATATAGCACGCCTAAGTATTAAGGGCAATGACATATGTATGGGTGTCAATTGTGCCATTTTTAAATTTCAAATTCATTTTATAGTAGCCTTTAGCTTTAAATTTTATAAGTGCTTAAGTGTCTAGCCATGCTGCCCATTTATTCCCAACATAGTCGTAGATTGGATCTGGACTATTAAAATCTTCTTAATTGGATAATGTATAATCGTGATTGCCCAGGACTGGATAGAAAGGTGTCGTAGAAAAGTTGCTTTATAAAAAGTTGTTTACCCAATCTAGATACTATTTCTTATCTGAAAATGATTACCCTCTATCTTCGTCATGCGGGACAGAATCTCCAGTCCAAATAATCAAATCTGGTTTAACAACACTATTGATGTAGTCCGCCATACTTCTAAGAAGTTTCTCTGGGGAGTCACATTAGTACTCTCCATACAATCCAGCTTTTCTGCTATTATCACTAGTCATATCATCAGCTCTACAGCAAATGATTCTTTGGCAAGTACTATCAGCACCTAACGTGTATTTAAAGTCAAGGTGCAGATCAGAAATGTGCAAGACCTTAAATGTTTGTCTCGTTTTTCCAGCTACACTTTTATATAAATCATCTACAAAAGTATCATTTTCAAGTGCTTTCGGCTTGTCAGCTAGTATGCTATTTGTGAATTTATTTATTGAATTCTAAGGTGAAGGGGATAAAGTCTTGGTGCAAGAGGTAAAATAGTTTTAGCAAATGCTGTTGGCGCTTAAAGGGCCGGCAAATAGATTATCAAATCCTACTTCACTAAAATAATCAATAAGACCCTTGCATGCAACCCCGTTATAGATGGTCACACTCGAGCATACTAGGTTAAGCACATTTCTATTAGTTATTCTTTGTAGATCGTTGTCCAAAAAGAATATAACTGTATTTATAAAAGCTTTACAGGTAAAGCAAGAGAAATCATTTGGAGTGGCTTAAACTAATGGACTTAATACTTTTGGAATCTTATCAATTGCAGAGAAAACTTTCTCCTCTTAGTTATGTGTGAGTACATTTGATATTTTAAACTTAGCTGAACTTTGGCAAAGGGCGAGTAGCAATAAGACCAATTTTAATACCTATCTCAGCATTATGGTAGTTTATATAAATTTAACAGTAAATTATTATTTCACTATATTTTATCTAATTATCTTGATAAACTCTTCATTCTGGGGTTTTGGGGTTTTGGGGTTTTGGGGTCTTAGAGGTTGATACTTTTC